AGATCTGCTTCCTCTTTTCAACTGCTTCTCGGGACTCGCATTCTCGCTTTTATTGACACTGTTCAGTGTCATATTTTAACGTCAGTAAGAAACAGAACCGAAAACAAAACTTATAAATCTCACCATTTCCTCCTCCCGCGATTCCAGGTTTTCCTGCAGCTCGCTCAGAATATCCTTCTGGTGTTGGAGGTCATCCTTCAGTCGGGTGACGTCGGCCCGCGCGGTCTCCGCCTCCGCCTTGAAGCTGCGCGCATTGCGTTCCGCGGACTCCAGCTGGCTGCGCATGCTTTCCTGTTCCCGATGCAGCCTATCCAGCTCCCGCGACAGCTGACTTGTGCTGGTTGTAGTCGACGATAGCAGGTCGGAGTAGCCTGCTGCCACAGATGCAGGTCGTCCGCCGTAGACTGAACCACCGGAACGTCCTGCAGACTGTTGCAACTAAAGTGCGAAAAAGAACGTGCAACTATTGCGGGCTGGACAGCTACAAATATTGGGAGCAGGTCTGCCAAAAGACTAGACGGTATTATCCTCTGCTCTCTCCCGATCTTAACAGGCATAATAGGGAGCCCGTGGCTCAATGCTTAGAGCGTTAAACTTCTGATAAAAGGGTCGCGGGTTCGAGCCTCGTGTGGGGCAACAGTTGGGGTTGGGTATGACTGACTGACAACGGCTAATAAACCAGAAATGGCCACTCCAGTCTTCATTGTCTTTTTCCGGCAACGCTGTCTGCATAAACTACTAACCGATGTAGGGCTGCTGACGGGGTTCAAGAAGTGAGCTCCAAGACAGCGCGAGAGGAGTAAGTTCCGCTAGCGATTGGTGAACGTTCATCAACGAGTTTCAATGTTTCCCAATGTAAGCCCGCAAGACAACGAGCCCGTGGCTCAATAGTTAAAGTGCTGGACTTCTGATAAATGGTCGCGTGTTCGGGCATCGGGTGAAGCACCACTTAGGGTTGAGTATAACTGGCTGATGACGGCTGAAGGCTTGACTTAAAAACGGCTACTTTCGGATCGGTCTAGACTGAAAGCGAAGTAATTCTAGCTGATGACGAAAAATTAACTACATAATGGTCATTCAAGGCTATCTCTTCTATGCGTATGTTCGTGTGTTTCCATTGGAAGAACTACTTTCTTCGCCTACATGTTCATACATTCTAAGGTAATCTGTAGTTTGAGAGTAAAACTGGATACTTTTTGAGACTTCAAATGTGGAATTTCATGACATATTCTGTTTCTTATTCTGTTGTCACCATACTCCGGTGAGCGAGACTTTTATTCATTCAGTTGAATCCGTAAAATATTCATGGAATCTCTTGTGGAAGTAGTGTTTCATCAATACCCTCCCCCTTGGATCATAATACCATTTAAAATTTAGCCAGTTTCACTTGCCAGATTGTAGATACTGTTCTCTAAAATCTAGTGCTGAGGATTGCGGCTTGTGCGTTACCTGTTCGATCTTGGTCTGTAGGCTGTCACGCTGACTGGCAATAGAGTCGCAGTTGGCCTGCGTCTCCCTCAACTGACGAGTCAGGTCCTGAATCCGTGTGGACGACTGACGTACTTCCTTCTGCAGCCGACCACTGTTCATTCCAGCCTCATGCAGACTCTGCTGGAGGGTGGCGATCTGTTGCTGCAGTGATTGCTATCGTTGATGCAAAAGAAAGAATGAAGGAGGGTTGTTTCAGTTAGACTAGTTGATTGTCAAAATTAAGAAATCACTTGGCTTTCAGAGAACTGACGGCAACAAAGTATCATAGGGCTCGCCACGAAAAACACAAATCCCAGAAATTTAAAGCATTTTTTCCCAGGTATAAGTGTGAAGCAGGCGAAAACGGCAGAATTTATTTGTACAAATAAATTTCAAGAGAGCTTATCAACTGCCTCCTCTCTTTGCATGAATAACGAAACAATTGGAGAACACATCATTTTGAATTTTCACAGAATCGATAATAGCAAGATCATTTTAACCCGGCGAATGGTCAATAGTAATGTCAACTTTAAACTTGGGAAAAAAAGTAGGAGGTAAATTAACAAGAATAAAAGTGTGGCATGCATTAACCAGGGCAATTAATGATTAATCTAATTGCTAATATAGGTCGGGTTTCTCCCGCAGCATGTAGGCTGCTTCCATGTAACACAAAGTCCGGTTTGTTCGTGCGCGAATAAGAACTCGGAATGACGTGTTCATGTCAACGGAGTGACCACTGAACAGCAGCAGAAACAGTTTGTGTGTCTAGCAAGTGTTTTGTAGTGGATGACCGTGACACTTAGTTTTCTTATTGCAAAAGCCAAACAAGTAAATGTTTAGCAGCTATGGCCGCCAATTGTCTTTGCGTACGACCAATGCACTCGCATCCGTAAGTGCACGCGAATTCATAGACGCAGTTGGGGGTGGCGTGCAAAGGCAATACTTCGTTTGACCGGTTAACTGGAAGGCTTTTGGTTGGACTGAGGAACACAAGTTCGGCTGCATAGTACGTTCTCTGTATGGAACAGCGTTGTTGTCGTTTAATTATACTGGAAATATTGTTTCTTAAAGGGTAAAGATATGAAACGGGCTTTTTTTCGGAACCGACTGGTCCGTAGATTTCAGCCGTAAAGGGCTGCTGTATTTTTCAGTAAAACGTAAAATGTAACCTGTGGTAAAGCTAACTTCTTTTAATTTCTAATTTATTATTTTATCAATTAATTTAATTTGTTAACGTTTATTGTTATTTTTTTCATTTATCGTAGGTTTGTCATTGCTACATATTAGCTTTCCCTAATAATACGTTAATATAACATGGAGCAGTTGACTGCACGAAGTTATCTATATGCCAGTTTCTCAGGAAGCCCCACATTGAGCGGTCGAGGGCCGAACAGCTTAACTTGGGACTAGCGATTGCCTAGGTGAAACGTAGATCTCGACGACAGGGATCCTGAAATCAAAATCA